TCTTCTTCTTCTTCTTCTTCTTCTTCTTCTTCTTCTTCTTCTTCTTCTTCTTCTTCTTCTTCTTCTTCTTCTTCTTCTTCTTCTTCTTCCTCCTCCTCCTCCTCCTCCTCCTCCTCCTCCTCCTCCTCCTCCTCCTCCCCCCCTTATTCTCTTCCACTCCACAAACCCCACTCCCTTCTAGCACTGATGACGTTACCTAGTTAGGTAGTGAAATGCCGGCAAGAAAACAACCAAGCTGGAAGTGCACCAAGGACCCCCACAATTCAACCCCCAAAATTTAGATGAGACTATTTTTGGGGAGGGGTGAGCTTGAGGGACACCAAGGGAAGTCCAATCTTGGGGCAACTTCTGTTAGTGCGAAGAGGAAGACCCAAGTTTTAATGCTGCCTCTATTTCTTGCCTTAGAAATCCCCTCTTCTCAATCCAAGGTGGTAATAAGGAAATCCCAAGTTAGTTTCCTCTTGTGCACAACTAAGGAAGAATGGTGTCGTATGTTCATCATTTCCATGCAATTTTGTTGGCTGTAATATTTTGTCCCTCCACCTAATAACTGCCCCTAATATAGCAAAGGCAAGCTATTCATAGTCTTTAATGGCCCCATAATCCCTTGCTGGGTGGAGTCTGGGCAACTGAATGGAGCTAGCAGAGTGTTTTACTGGCCAGATGCTTTTCCTGTTGCCAATGCGGAGTTTTGTTTCAGCAGATATATTCTCAGTGTGCCCAGAGAAAGAAATATCTGCTTCCACCTACGATCGAACTCACAGCCTCCTGATTGTGAGGTGAGAGCTGCACCTCTACGCCACCACACCGGTCTTTTCTCCTTTTAGAAATACGTTGCTCTTATGTTCAAGTATTTACTAAGTGTTTTGCTTTGGTTTTTTACCAGGATAAGGTTAGGCAAGTATTGGAAGCTTAAGTGAACAGCTAATAATCCAAAAGGTGAGCAGTTTTTGCATGCCTCTTTGAGAGCTGCCAAACGTCCGAGGAAGTCAACTACTCTCTGTTTAAAACAATAATACACAACCCATTTTGCATAAGAGATCTGCTTTTTGTACAGTGTGTCGGGCGTTTTATTTTTATTTTTTTAGATATCAGAACAGAATAAAAGAGTTGGAAGGGACCTTGAAGATCTTCTAGTCCAACCTCCTGCTTAAGCAGAACCCCCAATATACTGTTAAGTTCGGGAAATGAGAGGCTGAACCAGGGCATGGATGCAACAAATACTTTATTAGAATAATAAAGGACTGAATGTGCTTGCCAAGCCTGGAACTGGCTCGCAGCGATCAGCAACTGGTTGGACCCCGCAGCCTGCTTTTATAGCTGGCTGCTGGGGAGAACCAACCAATGAGAGAGAGGGCAACCGCCCCCGTATCACGAACGGACCTGGGTGGGAACTTCTTTAAGTTCCAGGGACATAACACCCCTTCCCCCCAGATGCGAACACGCATAGTCTTTAAGGTACGCGGGAGGCTTGTGCTGGTGCCCAGAACGGCGCAACTCTGGGGAATTGTCTGGTAGATCGGAGTCTGCAACTGAAAGTTGGACCGGTGGGGTGTCACGAACGCGTTCCTCGGTCAGTGCCGGATCGGGGCTTGTAGGGCTGATCGTTGAGGAAGTGTTTCCGTTGGCTGGTTCGGACTGGTCAGCCATCAGGTGGTCACGGGTCGTGTTCGGGGTCCCCGACTCGGCTGCAGACGTGAGCTGGTCCCTGGAATTGGTGCTGATGTGGGGTTGATGCTGTAGCCCTGCACCGGTCTGCAACCATGAGTCACTGCTAACGTGAGTGTCTTGGCGCTTCCGCAGCTGATCCAGGTGCCTTCTCCAGATCCGGCCATCCTCCAGTCTGACTCTATACGACCTGGGTCCGGTGATGGCCACGACCTCGCCCGGGATCCACAGAGGGTCTCCAGCGAAGTTCCTCGCGAACACGGGTTCCTGTAAGACAAAATGCCTAACCCCCGATGTGGAAGCGAGGGGAGCGTCAGGGCAGTAATGTGGGTGCAGCCTGTCCAATACAGTCCGCAGGCGTCTACCCATCAGGAGTTCAGCCGGGGACTTATTAGTGACTGTGCACGGGGTTGAGTGCTGGCTCAGCAAGAAACGGGAGAGTTTGTGGTGCCAGTCATCCTTGCTGAACCTAGCCAGAGCCTCTTTAGTGGTCCTAACGGCTCTTTCTGCCAACCCGTTACTGGCAGGATGAAAGGGAGCCGTGAAGATGTGGCGGATGCCCAGATTGGCAGCGAAGCGACTGAACTCAGCCGATGCGAACTGGGGGCCATTGTCGGAAACAATTGAGTCAGGTAGCCCGTGCGTTACGAATAGGCGAGTTAATACCTTGGTGACCGCTTGCGTGGTGGTTGTGGACAGTTGTGCCACGTCAATCCATTTAGAGTAAGAGTCCACGATCACCAGGAACATTTTGCCGTGTGTCGGGCCCGCTAGGTCGATGTGAATCCTGGACCAGGGTGCGCTGGCACTTTCCCACTTGGTGGGGGTGGCAATTGGAGGGGATGGACGGGATTCCTGGCAGGGATGGCAGGAGCTTACCCATCTGCTGATGTCATCGTCGAGGCCGGGCCACCATACGTAGCTGCGTGCTAATGCCTTCATTCTGACGATGCCAGGGTGGCCCTCGTGCAACGCCTCCAAAACTCGGGTACGCAGTGAGGTCGGGATGACCACTCGTGTGCCCCACAGCAAACAGCCCTGCAAACTGGATAACTCCTGTAGGCGGGTCTTAAAAGGCGTGAATTTGGTTTC